GCCCACTGGGTGCCGATGAGAGCGCCGCCGCACAGGTACTGGTTGAGCGAGTTGATGAGCGCCACCTGCCAGCACCACTCGGCCGGCTCGGCGTCGTCGCCGCCCACGACGCGGCCGCGGCGGGCCGCCGCCGTCGACGCGTTCCTGGACGCCAGCATCCTGCCCTCGCGGAGCACGGGCGCGTACGCGGGGTCCTGCTCGATCTGCGGCGGCGCCCACTGCGACGGTGACGAGGTCTCGGACACGACGGGCGGGCGGTGCATGTCCAGCGCGTCGTCGTCGTGGTGCCGCGCGCGCGCCGTGCCCTTGACGCCGCACACGTACTTGCTGTAGACCTGCGGCCGCTGCGTGGTGGTGGTCGTCGGCGGCGTGACCACGGGCGTGATGAGCGGCCCGGGGACTGCGGGGCATGGGCAGAGGGTCAGCGGGGGGCAAGAGTGATGGACGGCACCTGGTCACTTATTGAAAGCACGTGTTCGTCGCGCACGTGCTGGGCGCGTACTCACCCGGGGGGACGTGCGCGGCCGAGGGCGGCAGCGGGGGCGGCAGCGGGGGCGGCATGGGTCGGCGCGCGGGCGGCCGGTACGGCAGCACCGTGTCGTTGCGGCTCGAGGCCGGCGGCGGGGGCGCGTTCAGCGACGGCGGCCCGTACTTGGGCGGCCCCAGCCCGGACACCGAGGTCGGGCCGCTGCCGCCGCCGAGGTGGTTCGTGTCGCCGTCGGCGTCGCTGCCGCCGACCGGGACGCCGCCAGGGCCGCCGGGGCCGCCGCCGCCGCCGCCGCCGCCCAGCTTCTGGTCCAGGGTCTCGTGGATGATGGACTTGGGCGCGCAGCACTGCGTTCCGGCCTTGCGACACTTGAACAGCTCCGTCATCTCAGCGTTTCCTGTGGGAGGACAAGGAGGGTGAGGCACGATGCACGGCCAGGACAGAGGGGAACTTCACTCAAAAATAAAAATCGGTGTACACCCTCCAAAATAATGTAAAAAGAAAACGAATTAATTGTAAAGTACTCCACGTCGGCGACCTAGGGTCGCACTTACGGAAGCAGGTGAAGGACAGGTAGGTCATGATGCACGAGCCAGGGCAGTCCGGGCGGTCGTCCCTGGGCGCGGGCGTGGTGGTGGTCGTGGTGGTCGTGGTGGTGGTGGGTCGGAGGCGGGGCCGGTTGTCGCAGCACACGGAGCCGCGCGTGCACGTGGACGTGTGCGGCACGATCACGTTGGGCCGCTCGCAGAAGGCCGACATGAGGTGCATGATGCAGAAGCCCGGGCACCGCGGCAAGGGAGAGTGCGTCGTGGTCGTGGTCGGCCTCCTCGTCGTCGTGGTCGTGGTGGGCGACGACGTGGGCGACGACGCCGGCGAGCCCGGTCTCGTCTGACCCGGGGGACCTGGGAATTCGAGACGGATTGCAGTACAATCACTGTTACTTCTACCGCAAAACTACCAAACCCTGCAGTCTCTAAATGGCATGAGGCTAGGGCTCGCAACAGGGAAGTTATTGAGTCTCTGCAAGGACCTAAGTGAAGACAGTTAGTTCTAAACCTATTGATAAGGATCAGTCCATGGGATTAAAAGAAAAATTTCCACTTTATGGACAAGATGTGTAGCACAGGAATAGAAGCGTCGTCCATGTCGGCCTAGATTATATTCGCTTTTCATTATTTGGTTTCAAACAACGAGCACCCCTGGTGCTATATGTGTGAGACGGTGAAGAGCGGGAGGGGGGATCTCTTTACCCTCTGGTAGAGACAGTCTTGGGGACGGTTTAAAGATAATAAAACTTTTTTTTTCCTCGTAAGGTTTGCACAAGAAATTCTTTCCTTCACATGTAAGCAGCAGCGCTGCGCTAGTCGGCTGTCGCCAGGCCGACACGCCCGCCGCCCCGCCCGTCCCAGGACGCGGCTCGCGAGGTCGTCGGCCTGGAGCGCCGGCCGGCCTCTTCCCCGGCCACACGCCGCCCCGTGCCACGCAACGCAGTGACCGGCCGTCTGGCCGACTTTTAGGAGAGGGGGACACGGACTACTGGCCAATGTCCAGAAAATCGTTTCGCGATTCGACTAAATTCTCGCTTGATACGGGAGTGAAATGACTGTCCTTCATTGTAACGACTTGTCCTTTCACACTGGAGCTAATTTTCATCTATTAATTGAGAAGCATTTCGGATCGCACATCATGCCAAGTCGTCTGCGTGCGACGTTTTATCTTTTAGACTGTCCCCAAGACTGTCTCTACCAGAGGGTATTCTTCGAGGACTTACGCGGGGCCTCCACGGGGTTGGTGATGCAGCACGAGTCGTCCCCGCCGGGGCAGGTGGCGTCCAGGTCGACCTCGTCGCAGAACAGCGAGAACAGCCCGCTCACGCACTCGCCCTTGCACGGCCGGTGCAGCGGGCGCATCGAGGACGCGGGCTGCTTGGGGCCCTCTGTCGGCCGCGGCGGCGGCATACTCGCTATAAAGGGGGCAAGACAGGCAGTTTTGTTTAAAGCATGAACCTTTTCCAGAAAAATTTCAACACATTTCAGGACAAAAAAGAAAAAAATTGAA